AGAGAGAGAGAGAGAGAGAGAGAGAGAGAGAGAGAGAGAGAGAGAGAATAGTTGTTTGTCTCCATGTGTCCCTGTGATGGACTGGAGACCTGTCCACGATGTCCACTGCGTCTCTCGCACAGTGACTGCTGGACATGGGCATCAGTGACCCCCGGCCAGGAGGGAGGGACGAGTTGCTGTAGCTCAGGTCAGACCAGAAGCCAAATGTGATGCATTAACAGCAAAGTGTGACTTCAAAGCCAAAACCACGCATTTGTCAACAGACCAAATTGAGATGTTAAAAAAAATAAGTATCAGCAACAAACGTTTGTGATAATACTGTGGTTTAAGAGCTGTAAAAAATAGTTTGTGCCTAAATAAAAAAGTGTACTAATGCAATCAGTGCAAAAAGTGACTTTGGAGTCCTGTGCATTTAAACAAGTGTTTCGTAAAAACTACTGAGATATATCGTGAGGATGTTGGCCAAGCCATTCAAACTAATTGAATAAGTTAAAGTTGTGTTTGTTAAATCAGGATGATGCTTGGATGTGAGCAGTGAGGCTCACCTTGTTTTGAGCGTTCACTTCAGCACCATGCTGCAACAACAGTGCAGCTGTGGGTATGGATGGGATGTTCGCTGCTAAATGGAGGGCTGTATTGCCATTGATGTCCACAAGAGTTGGCTCAGCGTGATTCTCTAACAATATGCTCACACACTGCTCATGCTGACCCTGCACCGCCTGTTCAATAGAAGAATCAACATGAATTCAGAGACAAGAACTGGTCCAAAGCTAGAGACATGTAAAGGAATGCAGGCAATATGATTTAAGCAGGATTCCCTGTTTTGCAGCGTCAGAATCCAGGATTACCTTCATTAAGGCAGATCTATTTTGATTGTCACAGAGGTTAAGCTTGGCTTTGCTCTCAACAAGAAACTGCACCATTTCAGCGTGACCGTTTGCACAAGCAAGATGAAGCGGAGTTCTGCAAAAGTAAAGTGGAGTTTGTCACATTAAAATCAGTAAGGGACAAAGTTTAAACCTTTTACTGACCTTTACTGGTGTTTAAAACATAAAAAGCTAGTTCTTACTTCACTCGAGACCTCTAAGGTATTCTATTCAAATCAAGATCAGCACAGAGACTTTTTCTTTGGTTGTAATGAAAAGTATTTCAAGCGCTCTTCTGACACATGCTAAATGTATAAATGGAAATTAGATCCTTCCTTGAAACACAAGAAGAAACAAAGAGGTGTCATGCCCATTTCCACTTAGCACTACAAACAATATGTGGTTTGTTCTTCACATTTAAAATGTAGGACATTGTTTCTTGCAGCCTGGTTATAAAATGCATGATCAAACATGACAAACAACAAAAATATGAAGAAATGTTGTGTACATTGTTCACACAGACAATTTACTGAAAATAAATTCAGAAGATGTATTAACAAATGTTTTTTCCTCACCTGTTCTCCTTGTCAAGTTGATTGACATCATTTTTCTTAGCAAGCTGCTTCATCTTGGTCAGGTCACCGTTTAGAGCAGCCTTATGGAGCCTGCCCAGGTCCTTCTCTTTCACCTCATAGCCAGCGGACAGCGCACTCCCACTGTCCGGGGTCCCACTTTGGGCTTTTTTCTTCTTAGTGAAGCTAAATATTTTCTTCATTGTTTATGTCAGCCCAACACTGCTTTGCATGGCCACTACTCCCCACTCATGTGCTGCAGGGCTCACCGCAGGCTGACATCCCCAACATAAGAAGTAGGAAGCGGATTAGAAGCGCTGTGGTTTGTCTTGCCTATAAGAGCATCACAGCTACATCTGGCCACCTGATATTAAGTCAGATGGTTAATATTACGGTAAACAACAGTCTTCATGGGAAGCAGCTAACTTCATAGGCGTAGCCAGGATTTTATGAGGGGCGGTTCGTTTGAAGAAAAAGTGGACCTGTAGGACTACTCTGATTGGTTCATTGGCGGTGGTACACATAACTTCAAATGTGTAAACAAGCTAATTAGCTAGCTAGTTAAAACACTGCTGTGTGAGGTAAATCTGTGTTACCAAATAGGCGGTTGTGAGTGGAGAAAGAGCAACACACTGAGAGGGGAATAGCGTGTGTGTCCAGTCTTCTATTCAGAACTCATCCCAGACACGAACGAACACTTCGGTACTCCCGAGTCCCGCCCGAACATACACACAAAAAAAAAAAAAACACCGAAGAAGAATGAAAGACGTCATCCTCTTAAAGGCACAGTACCACTCCTTAACTCTAACAACATAAATGCAAACTAAGCCCGCAAATAATAACATTACTTCAATTGCAAAAATAACTCATCTTTTTACTTTGCTTTGTTAGACATTGTTTTTTATGAATGAAATTACTTCACCTCGCAGTTCTATATCTCGCGGGAGTTGTAGGTGGGACTTCATTGGCAAAGTGGGCGGTTCGTTCGAACCCCCCGAACCCCCCCTGGCTACGCGCATGAACTTATTACTGCATACCTTACACCAGGGCGTCCTCTGTCATTTCGTAATGACAGCAGCTGCGCTTCACAAGTGCTAATAACACGTTCATTTGCTCATTCATGTTTCCATCTTTTCACTACACGGTTCTCTGGCTTCTTCGTTGTTACCATGGTAACCCGCTGTAAAACTAATATGTCGTTTTATAAATTAGCTCATTTTTAGATTGATAACAGGCAAACTAATGTCAGCGAGTACTGAAAACACGTCAGAAACTGCTTTACATGGTGAGGAGCTGAACATGGTTAACTGTTGCCTAGCAACGTAACTGTGGACGGCTCGTGCTAGCTACGCCTCCCCCACGTCGTCACTTCACCAACGAAGCAAACCGCCACATTTCTAACGAAGAAGCCGAGCGTGCCAGAGTCCGTTTCTGACTCTACGAAACGGAAATACGAATTCGCTGAAGGCAGAAAACTCAAGAAATTTAATTATCCACATAATGCGGCAATGCTAGCGAACACGAAAAATAAAACACGAGAGCGACACAAGATAGGGTGCAATATGCATATGGCGCGAGAGAATTTAATGACCTAATTTATCTTAAGAACGTGTGCGTGATTCATTTCAACAATAGTATAAATTCTCTGTTACTAACCTGTTGATTGTCAATGTCAAGTCACTTATAGCTTTTGCTAACAAAATACACAAAGGCATGATGGGTAATAGGTGTTCAAACAACCAATCAGAAACGAGTTCGAGGTACAGACGTCTTCGACTGACCAATAGGAATCGGAGGCATAAAGAAGGTTGGTTGACAGAGCAAACCACTGATAACTTGGGTTGTAATAGCAAAGCTTGATCACAAGATGGTGACATTTGTTTTAAAATTAAATACGTTTTAAACAGTGTCGGACCGCACATTACTATTTTGTCGTCTCGGTAAATAAAAGTTATAAACTCAGATATATTTTTTTAAACACTGAATAATCCATGTTATAAACTGCCTTGAAAGTTCTAAAAAAAGTTAAATCTGGTCCTCTGGACATTCAAAAAACAAAACAAGCAAACAAAAAAATATAGAAATGTTTCGTCTTTCATCCAAAAGACTTCCTCAGTCTGAGGTGCTGTATTCAGCTCAGTCTCTTAAATAGCACCTTCTCAGAGTGGATCAACCAGTTTGCTGCTGACAACCAAAACCAGCTGATCACATGCTCAAGAAGGACCATCAGCCTAACAATGGATCATTAGCACCTGATGGCTGTTTACTGTTCACAGAGGGCTGAGTGATACTAGCAATCACAGCATTGTAAGAGGGGGACAGTTGAACACAGAGGCCTCTACCCCTGTTTAATGATGGACGATTTATTTTCACGGGCAGCACGGTGGCGCAACTGGTAGAGCTGCTGCCTCTCAGCGAGCAGGTCCCTGGTTCAAACCCAGGTCCAGGGGCCTTTCTGGGTGGAGTTTGCATGTTCTCTCCGTGCATACGTGGGTTTTCTCCGGGTGCTCCGGTTTCCTCCCACAGACCAAAAACATGCATGTTAGGCTGATTGGTAACTCTAAATTGTCCCTAGATGTGAGTGAGAGAGTGAATGGTTGTTTGTCTCGTTTGTCTCTATTGCCCCTTTTCCACCGTCACAGAGCGGATCAGATCAGTTCGGGTTGGTTCAGATCGGTTCGGGTCTTTTGTGTTTCCATGTACATTTCTGGACCAGCTCTGTAGGCGGGGACTAGAATCCAACTCGTCTTACCACCTGGTGGCAGTAGTGCTCCCTTAAGCTACTTACTAGCCACCACTAAACGTATTAGAAGAAGAACACCCTGAAGGTTTTGTCACAAGATGTTGTGGAAGAGATGTCATGCTCTAATGGAGTACCTCATGAACTGTAACTTTAGACCTGATTCATAATCCTACCTTACTGCCTTCCCTGCCTGCTTTAAACCCATGTGTTTTTCATTTTAGTATAGATTTTTACAATAAAGATGTATTAAAAATATCTTCACTTTTATTATTTGCAGATATGCACAAGGTTCATGTTAAAATTGCAAAACATCACACTGTGCTGTAATCTTTGAAACTGCTTTTACAAGAAGACTTGAAAACAATTAGATTAAATTTTGTCCTTGAATTTTAAAGGATTTGTCTTTCATTAAATTAAAACATAAATTTATTACTTATTAATCTAAAAAAGTTAAGTCTGGTCCTCTGGACATTCAAAAAACAAAACTAACAAAAAACATTTAGTTTATTTATTATAAACTGTATTGTTTGTTTTGTGAATGTCCAGAGGACCAGACTTAACTTTTTAGATTTTTCTACCTGGATTATTGAGCAGCATCAGGATATTAATTAATAAATAGTCAGTTGGTCTGTGAACACCATGGGGTCCTAGAAGAGTTGAAGAGGATGCTGTTGATGTCTGTGCCTCCCTGGTGAAGATGCTGCTCCCACAACCCTGAAGCAGAAGATGATGGATGGATGGACGGATGGATGGATGGATGGATGGATGGATGGATGGATGGATGGATGGATGGATGGATGGATGGATGGTGAAGGAGGAGACCATCAAACAGCAGGAGTGGTCAGTTCAGGTGAACTCCTGCCTGTTTGCTTCAGATCAGCTGTTCAAATCTCTGCAGGTTCAAATAAAAGGTGCACCAGGACTTTCAGCTGAATCTCTCAGGGGTTACAGTTGTACGGACGATAAACGATAACTGATTACTGATTACTGATCACTGATAACTGTCCTTTCTGAATTTTTGACTGTTTTTGTGTCACTTCATCCTAGAACAAAACATTTATAACATAATAACAGTTGAGCAGATTCTGGTAATCTTTTCTTAGGATTCATTAAAGATCAAATGCAATTGGAAATTCTTCTCAACTTCCAGTATGAATTTAAACAAACACTATATGAACTTAACATTGTAAAATTTGTTTAGGAAATTTAATGTTCAAGGACACCACTTAAGAAAAAAATTGTTTAATATGAAAAGTAAGAAGTGAAAAATGTACAAAAATAAAAACTACTGCGTCCAACTAATGATTGTGTATCTGTGTCCCTTGTCTCACGGGCTTCATCCAGAAGAAGACACAAGTGTTGTTCCTGCTGTGTCCGGTTCAGTTCTTCATGTTCATTCAGTGATGAAATAAGACTTTTCTTTACTGGACTCTTTTCTCTTTCTCTTCACTAGAAAGAAGAAACAGGTGGTTAATTCAAGCTACATACTGTTTTTGAATAAATGCATGAAACAAAGAAAGGTGCTGCTAACAGCTATAATAGATATATTAATAATAATAAACTGATCAAATAAGAAAATGAAAAATAAATTGATTTAAAAATAATGAAAATGATAATAATGGATATATGAATCAGAAAGTATTATACAGATGCAGATATTCTTTGATCATCCACCACATGTGGTCCATGTGGTGGATGATCAAAATTATGTTCACAGGGTCCCAGTTACATCCAACAATAAAATATAAAAGAAAAACAGTAGTAAGATCTAAGATATGAACTAATAAAAACATCAACTAAAAATATGATAAGCTCTAATAGCATAAAAACATTAAACACAATACACGAACAGCAGCACGGACATGAGTCTGTGTGAACAGACGAGCATGCATGAACACAGCAACATGAAACAGATCAGCAGCAACATGAAACTGATCAGCAGCAACATGAAACTGATCAGCAGCTACATGATGTGATTCTTCACAGTGTTATATATTCATGAGGCTGCACAAACTCTAGTTCATGTTGCTGTTTGACGTATTGTTTTGATTGTTTACTGCTATTAGTGCTTAGTGTTTTATTAGTAGATGTTTTTTAGTTGATATTTTTCTTAATTCATATCTTCGATCTTATTACTGTTTTTATTTTACATTTTGTTGTCTGTAACTGGGACCCTGTGTACATAATTTCATCCCAATTCAGTATTTATTCAACATTTTAGTTTTTTACTTTAAAAATAAAATAAATCAAGTCCTTATCGGCACAAATAAAGTGATGTGGAACAGTTGCATCTGTTCTTACCGAGCACAGAAGCTGCAGCGTTGTGCTGCTCTGTGAGGTGCAGCTGGGCTGTGATGGAGCTCTGTCAGGTGCAGACTCTGCTGATGGAGCAGGAGCAGAAGCCGGGAGGCTTGGAGGGTTTAATGTGGAGTTTAGAGATGAACCATCACGCGCTGAAATACGTTCTGGATAAAATACAGTGAGAAACGGACCAGAGGACAGTTAGCATTTATGCAAATTAGCTTAGCATCGTAGCACCGACGTTGTACAATTATGGCGT